GCGCATCTTAAAAAAAAATGTCTTTGTGGAGATACATAAGATAAAACTTTAGAGTGTAGCTCAGTCGATTAATTGGTGTGGGACCTATCCATCCATCTTCGACTTATTGGTTTTAGGCCTTGTTTGGTTGTATCGAATTTGTATCAATACACATATGTTAGAGTGAATTGGATTGGAACTTGAACTAAATTCTATCTTAATCCACCACAACACATGTGGATTAAGGTGAATATGATAACATCCAAATAAAGCCTTAAGTGGATTCATTTTATGTGTGGCTAATTATTTTTAATGGATAATTGTTTTGGATTGATAGCGCTCGGACGTTCGGACATATGTGTCCATCTAGACGCCCGCGGCTCCTTCGCCCCATCTGCTTGGATTTGCGCGTCGTCCGCACCAGCTCCGTTGAAAGGGTCGAGATGGCGGACTAGAGGGGGTGAATAGTATTTTCTAAAATTAATCACGTTGGCTAATCGATATAAATGCGGAATTAAAACAATCGGTCTAGCTAAGACTACACCCCTCTATATATGCTCACTAGCATCTTGCAAAGATACTAATTATGCAACTAAGGTGTCGGGCTAGCTAGAGCTCTCCTAAACAATTCTAGGAGCAAGGTCACACAAACCTATGCCACTAGTACTTTAAGCAACAAGGAAGCTTCTACACATGCTAGTAAGCAAAAGCACAAAGCCAACTAAGCTCACTAGCAAAGCTCAATAACAAGGCAACCAATGCCTAATTAGAGAGCGCAAATACTTAGCTACACAAACTAAACAATGTGACTAACAAGGTTACTAAAACCAAATTAGCCACGCAAGAGAGCTACTTCTATGCTACACAAGCAAGAAGGTAACTAGTAAACTACACAAGCTAACTAATTACAAGAGCAACTACACAAGCTTAAGATATATAAAAGTAATTGCAAGCTTGTGTAATGGGGATGCAAACCAACGGGAAGAACAAGGTTGACACGATGATTTTTCTCCCGAGGTTCACATGTTTGCCAACACGCTAGTCCCCGTTGTGTCGACCGCTCACTTGGTGGTTCGGCGGCTAATTAGCATCACCCGCTAAGCCCGCACGTCGGGCACCGCAAGAACCTATCCCTTGAGTGAGGGTAGCTCAATGACACGCTTTACTAAAGTTGCTCTTCATGACTCCATGGGCGAGCACAAGTACCCCTCACAAGCACTTCTCCCGAGCGCCGCACAAGCTTCTTGCGGGCTTCGACGGAGACCACCACCAAGCCGCCTAGGAGATGGCAACCTCCAAGAGTAACAAGCACCACCGGCTTGCAACACGACCACCTAGTGCCACTCGATGCAACCTCACAATGCAATCGCACTAGAATTGCTCACTCACACAATCGAATGATCACTATCAAGTATATGTGTGATGGAGGGCTCCCAAGCACTCACAAGCATGGATACTAAGTCCCTTGAGGTGCTCAAGACCAGCCATGGCCGAGGGCCACTTCTATTTATAGCCCCAAGGGCTAAACTAGCCGTCACCCCTTCATCAGGCAATGGTTGGGCGACGGGACGCTTCGTCGTGTTGACCGGACGCTGGACCTCGGCGTCCGGTCGCCCGCAGAGACCACCACGTGTCCTGATTCCAACGGTCACTTGACTTGACCAGACGCAACAACTTTCAACCGACCGGACGTTGAACCCCCAAATATCGGTCGTTTCTAAGTAAGTCTACCGACCTCGACCGGACGCGTCGGTCACATTTGATCGGACGCGCACCAAAGTCCGGTCACACTCCAGCTTTCTGCGTCGTCATCGTCGTCGACTGGACGGACGCGGCTCGCCAAATATCCGGTGCATTCAGATCCAAATCCGGTCGGTTGGGTTGACCGACGCCAAAGATCTTCACGATTAACTCATTTTCACTTCTAACTTCATCACCCTTGCTCCAATGTGCTAACCACAAGAACTTGCATCCGTGCAATAGAAAATAGGTATTCTATTTTCCCAAAAGCGCCGAACACCACCTCCTTTGTAAATGTGCCAACACCACCAAGTGTACACCACCTGCAAACCCATCTCACCCCTACAAACACCACCTCCTTTGTAAATGTACCAACACCACCATGTGTATGTGTGTTAGCATTTTCACAATCATTTCCCAAAGGATGTTAGCCACTCAACTTGCCACGCCACTCAATCCTAGCGACAATGCAAAGTTAGATCACTCGAGTGGCACTAGATGACCGATATGCAAACAAGTTTGCCTCTCTTGATAGTACGGCCATCTATCCTAAACCCGGTCATAAACTTCTCTACACACCTATGACCGGTGAAATGAAATGCCCTAGGTTATACCTTTGCCTTGCGCATTCCATTCCATCTCCTTCAATGTCGATGCAACACATGCACCAACACGATCAATAATGATATGATCCACTTCATATCATCACATGATCATATTGGTTCATCGATCTTGACTCTACTTGCTCTTCACCGTTGCTATCGTCCATCGGCGCCAAGTCTTGCTCAAGCTTCACCGCCACGTGGTCCATCACTCCAAAGCCTTTGACTTGCCCTTCACGCTTGCAACCGGTCCATCAAGCCAAGTCTTGTCTTGATCTTCTCCACCTTGATCACATGACTCAATGTCATGTCTCATGTGCAATAAGCTCCTTCATCATCACATGTGTGAGCTTTGCAACATCTCCAAGTCATTTTCACCTCCATGGCATATGTTGCTCATACACATGTATCTGTGGACTAATCACCTGTGTATCTCACATAAACACAATTAGTCCACCTAGGTTGTCACTCAATTACCAAAACCAACAAGGACCTTTCATCCGTTTCTCGCGTTCACATTCGAACCGCTCGCTTCAGATTTGCTGCCCACGCTGCTCGGATGACTCGCCCCTGCCTCTTCCACACCGGCGTGGCTCACGTCTCTTCCAGGCCTCCCGGAAGACTCGCCCTCACCTCTTCCACAACAACACTGCGCGACTTGTGCCTCCTCCCCATACCGTCGGTGGCCGTGGCTTGGCCTTGCCAGCCCTTATGGACACCAACGCCGGTGGTTTGCACTTGTAACATGAAACACTCGAATGCAACATACATTTAAAACAGATGAAACATTTAGGACATACGCTTGCAACATGTGTGAAAACATATGCAACATCCAGATAAACACAATTGCAACATAAAAAAACACTTACTGCAACATAAAGACCGAAACAATTGAAACATTTGGAACATGCTATTGCAACATATGTGTGAAAACATATGGAACATTCATATAAAAAAAGATTGCAACATACGTCTAGAAATAGATGAAATATTTTGAACAAATGCTTGCAACATGTTTCTAAAACACTTGCAACATATGCAATATCATCCGATCTACTTTTATAACATTCATGAGAAACAACTGCAACATACCTTTGAAACGACTGAAACACCTGAAACATATATTTGTAACATAGGGAGGAAAATCCTGGGCCAGTCAATTCCATCCGCCGAGATTAGGAGGCAGCAGCGAGTGGCGGTGCACGAGCACCACTACCACCAGCGCCACCGGTATCGGGTTTGGCTCGGCGGTGACTATGGTGGATGGGGCGAGGAGTGCCATGGCCACTGGGGTGGGGGGAGCTCGGTCGCCGGGGTGAGAGAGGGCGTCGCCGAGGGTGGGGAGTGCGCTGCACTGGGGTGGAGGAGAGCCGTCCACTTCCCTACAACACCACCACGCCACCTCCATGGATCTCGTGCGGAGGCGAGCGGATCTCGCTCCTACTCCATGGATCTCGTCGGGGTTGGGGAGAGGGCCACCGGATCCGCGGCGTTGGGAGCTCCTGGTGGGGGAGGACATAGGGCGTTGATGCATGGCGGCAGGGAATGAAGCGTGGAAGGGGTAAGGGCGGGAGCGGAGTGAGGCGTGAGGGATGTTTTTTTGGGAATTCCTTGTGTGCCATTAAAAAGATCGCAATGCCCTGTGTGCCCCTAAAAAAGTTAAGTGGTTTTCAGCGCTACTGCTCCAACTTTTTTGTGCCCTCCATGCTACTGCCGTCAGTTTGGGCTCTAACGCCGTCAAACTGCAGGTGTGAAAACTCAAAAATACCCTTAAGTCTAAATATGTCATTAATTTTTTTGAGCATCTTAACGACTTCAAATGAAAAACTCAAAACTAGAAAGTTGTAGATCTCGTCGAGATCTATAATTTTCATATAAAAATTATCTTCATTTAATTCCACAAAAAATATGATTTAATATGATTAATATATCTTAGAAAAATCATATCATTTTTTTGCGGAATTAAATAAAGATAATTTTTATATGAAAATTATAGATCTCGACGAGATCTACAATTTTCTAGTTTTGAGTTTTTTTATTTGAAGTCGTTAAGATGCTCAAAAAAATTAATGACATATTTAAACTTAAGGGTATTTTTGACTTTTCACACCTGCAGTTTGACGGCGTTAGAGCTTAAACTGACAACAGTGGCATGGAGGGCATAAAAAAGTTGGAGCAGTGGCGCTGGAGATCGTTGAACTTTTCTAAGAGCACACATGGCATTGCGATCTTTTTTAATGGCACGTAAAGAATTCCCCCATGTTTTTTTAGGCGAGCGACAAATGCGGCAGTGAGTGGAGCGAGACGTCCGACCTTCTGGACGTCTTAATGATAGCATTAGCGTAATTGTTTTCTTGCGAATTGAGCTTAGCTCTGGTTAGTTCTTTGTATTAAGCTGTCTACCTGCGTGAAATTAGACTATCCATTGATGGTGCTTATTGTGGTAGGTGTGAGTGAATACGGATAAAATGTAGAACAAAATCTGATAATGCTTTCTAGATAATGCTTAATTGATTGGTAAACTTTTCAACAGAGAAGTCTGAGATTTTCGACGCAATTTCGCACAAACGCGTGGACCAAATCGAAAACCTCAAAGCTCCGACCCGGGTCGGTCTCACGCCGAGGGGCGAGAGAAATTCCCCATCGAACTCGGTCTCCCCTCTCCTCCCTCTCCGCGGCATGGATCCCGCCGCCGCCTCGCCGGTGCCGGCGCCTGCCGTGGAGGAGCCCGTCAGCGCCACCTCCGTTCTCGACACCCTCGGCGCGGAGGTGCTGGCGGTCATGTCCCCGGTCTCCATCTGCATGGCCCTCGTCGTGCTCCTCATCTCCCTCCTCTCGCCGCCGTCCTCCGGGTCCGCGGCGGGCTCGCCCCCGCCAGTCACCGCTGCCACACTCGTCTACCTCGAGTCCCCTAACGACTCCCCGGGCCAGAAGCTCCTCGGCGCGCTCCTCGACGCCGCCGTCTTCGTTGCCCTCGTCGCCGCTGTCACCTTCGTCCTCGTCGCGCTCTACTACTACCGCTGCACGGGCTTCCTCAAGAACTACATGCGCTTCTCCGCCTTCTTCGTCATCTTCTCCATGGGAGGCGCCATCGTCGCCGCCGTGCTCCGCCGCCTCGCGGCCCCGCTCGACGCGCCCACCGCGCTCCTGCTCCTCTTCAACGGCGCCGCTGTCGGGGTCCTCTCTGTCTTCGCCTCCGCCGTCCCCATCCTCGTCCGCCAGGGGTACATGGTTGCCCTCGCCGTCATCGTCGCCGCCTGGCTCTCCAGGCTCCCCGAGTGGACCACGTGGATCATGCTCGTTGCGCTCGCCGTGTACGACCTCGTCGCTGTGCTTGCACCCCGGGGACCGCTCAGGATGCTTGTGGAGCTGGCCTCCTCCAGGGATGATGAGCTACCGGCACTCGTCTACGAGTCTCGGCCTACAGTCGGTCCAGCCACAAGTTCTTCCTCTTATGCTTCGGCCATGGGGTCTGTGGAGATGCAAACCATGACAGATTCTGGTCAGATCCGTGGCAGTCGATATGACCGGGTGGAGCAGGAGGAAGATGCCAGCCCTGCTGTTGTGGAAATGAGGGATCTTGGAAGAGGCCGATCAAGCGATGGTGAGATGAACAGATCAAGAGGTTCTGTGCTTCAAATGGAGAACCTTGAAAGGGAGGTACCAGTGACTTCAGCAGAGCTGACAGCAAACCAAGGTGGGAGTTCACAGCATGCTGTCATTCAAATTGAACAGCCTGACGAAGAAGAGAGATCACCTTTGGTGTCTGCAGCATCTACCAACAATGCAGCTTTGGATGAGGAGGAGCATAGGCAAAGTTCATCGTCAGAGCCTCTGGATTTTGAGATGTTTGAGTCTACCAGGGGCATCAAGTTGGGCCTTGGCGATTTTGTTTTCTACAGTGTACTTGTTGGGAGAGCTGCCATGTATGATCTGATGACTGTGTATGCATGCTACCTCGCCATCATTGCTGGGCTTGGTTGCACCCTCATCTTGCTTTCCATATGCCGGAATGCACTACCTGCACTCCCAATCTCTATTATGCTGGGAGTGACATTCTACTTCTTGACGCGGTTGCTGATGGAGCCATTTGTGGTTGGTGCTTCGACAAACTTGGTGATGTTCTGACTTTTCAGTGATCTACTGTTGTCATTTACATGTGCATGAAGCCCTCAACCAAAAGAAAGTGGTTGGTCAGCAACTCAGCAATCGATGTGAGAGTGACTAATATTTTGTTGGTCACTTATGGTGAACTGTCATTCGTATTTATTGCTAGGAATGCTTAAGACCATAGACTCTGAGCTCTGAGGTAGCATCGTAGATAGATTTAGCTCATGTCTTGTTGTAGTTCTATCAACCTGACATGTTATTCAAGAAGAGATATTCTACATTCCGTGTTCTTTGGCTATTGTGTTCTTCGAAGTTGGTGTTTTCACCTTAAGGTTAGTGATCAAGTAATTGATCATCCATTATGTTGCTAATCATTCTATGCTCAATTAACTACTCATTTTCCACCCATAGAAGAAAGTTTTTTAATAGGAAGTTGGCCCTCTTACTTTGATTTGAGGCTTTTTCAATATTTGATAGATTCAGTAAATCAAGTGTTTTACTTTGGAGTCTGTAGCTAATGCTTATGTATTGTTTTAATTGAATAGTGGTAACTGAATAATTATGAAAGAATTAGTACACACTTGAATTCTTCTTTTTAATTTTTAACTGTTTTTAACATTGACAATACATAGGGTGGTAGATGAGGCTAAGCATCTAAAATATTAGTTCCTGTCAAAGTTTTTATTAATTATCATTAGTTCAAATTATTTTCTGTCTTAGGCTATCCAACATGATGGGGATGGAAAACATTACACCCTTGTCAATTCCAGCCACTTTTTACGTTGCCTGAAAATGCTGCTAGAAACATTAGTTTTGCACTCTCCCTTTTGTTTTCAGTTTGGTGTTTTCTTCTTTGGTATGTCAACACTTTTGCTATTTTAAGCTCTGGTAAATCATTTAGTTATCATTTTGAAAATAGAAACCTGGCACTTTCTCTGAGAAGTGACAAGGTAACATCGCAAAACTGAATGATCTTGAAAACTAAATTCATCTTTGGCCAAGTTCAAATTGTACACAACTTGAGCCTCATTCTGGGATGACTCTACAGACCATACTGCTTAACTGGCGCCTAATCTTTTAATAAATCAAAGGAGGACAAAAATTTCAATGGCTTGAGCCATGGTATTGATTAACATTCTTTAATTACCCACTTTTGGTAGCAGCTTCTCTTTTGATCCATGGGTTGCAAATATCCTCTATAGCTCTATATAAGCTAAGCTTTCTCCTTTTGATCTGCCATACCCACCAGTTTCCGTAATCCCAATTATGTGAACTTATCAGAAATTCTGTTGTCTTTTTTTGTTATATGGATGGTGTGTGTATATCGTGATTCAGTTGTAAAAATATTTCACAGAGATTGTGCAATGCATCAATATTTTGCAGACATTATTATGCCCTCTCTCCTGTCTTATAGCTTTTATAAACAGCCCCAATTCATCTGCTAATAAAAAAGGGGGTTAATATTAGGTGCATCTTGGCAGATAGGAAATATAGGACCATACAAGATAACAAGACAATTAGGTTATAGCTACAAGTCAGTCATATGTGCTAAGAGCTTTGTTGCATGGTACCTGTATCAAATTCCAAGTATTTTCCATTGAAAATGAGATTGGTTGAATATGGTACACTCTTTTATTTAGTGGAGAGTTGATTTATGGAAAATGTTATACTTAAGCTGCTGCAATGTGGGTTGGTAAGGATGTTCTAGAAAATTAATGGGAAAAGAAATCCTGAGTAATCCAAAGTTATTCGCCTGTTCGCTTGGCTTATAAGCCATACCTTTCCAGCCAACGAACAGTATTTTTCTCTCACAACAAATCAGCCAACCGTACTTTCAGCCATGGCTTATCAGCCAAATGAACGGGACAAATTGCAAGAAATGATGTGGGTATTTTGTGGAGCAAGAAATGAGGTTACTGAACAGAGCGCTGGAAGGTTGGTGCAGCCGATATCACAAGTACCAAAGATTAAATAAAGCTGTTTAGCAGCCTTACGTGTTGTTATTCTCATCATTTTCCCTGCTACGAATTGTATCATTTTCTCAATTTGAGTTCAGTGTCACGTAGTGTATGTGTTATTTGATATGCGAACTATTAGATGATAAGGTATTGTTGTTCCAGAGTTGACACTAGTATATTGTTGATTATGATCCTTGGACAGCAACTTACTTGAAAGTATATTTCTAAAGAGCTGTCTTGATGTATGCACATAAGGTGATTGTGAAATGTCTGAGATATCATCTTGCTAGTTTACTACGCTTCTGTAGTTCTGTTGGCCCTTTGCCCCCACGTCTTTGTGCTCCGAGCTTGTAATAGTATTTAGTATAGTTTATTAGTTAATTCCCTTGGATTAATTTGTTACACGGACTACATTATAAGCTAACCATTTAGTTGCAGCTTCTGTTTTTGATATGACCGTCATTGCTAGCCATTTAGCTGCAGCTGATTCGTAATAGAAATCTTCGGTATATATAAAGGAAGTCACTAGTATTGAATAAATTACATTTCCATAGGGTGAATGGATGATTGATTGATGCCTCAACTCTCCTTGCATATCTTTCTGGTTCGGGCCAAGACCATGATACTTGGCAAACAGCATAATAAGCAAGGAAATGGTCCTTTTTCCATATCCTTTACTTTCCCTGATTATTGCTCTCAGTTTCTTTGCTTGGCTGACTCTTTTGCGTTTTGATCCTTTTCGGGCAATTGTGATTCGAAGTTCTGTACCGAAGTTTTGAAGCAACTATCACCAGTTTACCACGTTTTCATGGTTAGGCCGCATAGCAATTTGTGGCAATAACACTGACAAGTGGTGAATGGGTTCATATGGAACCTAAAAATAGTCCATGTTCAAAAAGAGCAGCGGGCATGAACTATCATAGTTGTTTTGAAACGATTTTTTCAATAAATACAATTGTACAATTATAATGTACATGTTCTAAAAGTAAATAGTTTGACTAAATCATGTCCTAAATGTTATTATATGTTTCTATGATCGGAGGGACTACAATGCTCATGGTGAATCAACATGTAGCGGAGCATAGATTTTGGAATTATAAGTTGCTTCCAATTTTTCATGAACTATCATAATCCCTTTTGGTTTACTCCTATCCGATGGTTAAGAGTTCAGACTACATCCTTCGTAAGAGGTGTCGTGCAATCTAGTGTTCAGTGATAAACTAAGATCCTGTTTGGATTTTATGGTATAAAGTTTAGCCACTAGCTTCTGACCACTTTACATCACTAAACTTCAGACCACTTTAGGTCTTGAGGCTCCATTCAAAAGTCTAAAGTATTGTTTAAAGTTTAGACAATCTCACGAAACTTTAGATCATACAATTAAGCTAAAGTGGTCTAATGTTTTAGTTCTCAACTTTAGTCAACTAAACTTTAGATATGAGAACCCGAACAGGCCCTAATCCGGTCATTGTTGGCATCATCTTCCCTTGTGATCATTAGTTAATACTAGAACATTGCTTTACTAACCTTACTAATGAAGTTGTTACTAAGAGTGTAAAAGTTATGGATATTTTTTGACTGACCGTCGGAAAGAAAGGGTTGGATAGTAATTTGGAAACATTTTCTGAATATCAACAAATTTCTTTGAAAATCAAATACAAATACATATATTTATTGTGGATATCAAATACAAATGCAATTTAACCATTATTTATCCCATGTATCATTCTAATATATCCAAAAAATAACCAACTAACATTTAAATTTAAATATTATACTCCCCGGGTCCAAGAAACTTGATTTTCAGGATAGATTAGTGCTCAACAAAAAAATACTCATCTACCCTATTTATTGAGGGCAGTCCATGCCAATTAAAGAATGAGTCGTTTAATTAAATGGATGCATGGAGACATGCAAGCTACAACAACAAGAGCTACAACATTAGAGCAACTCCAACAGTTTGTCCAAAATTAATTGCCAAATTTCATAGTTCAGCCATTTTGTAAAATAAAAACTCCTTAAAAAAGAAGAGGTTTACAACAGACTTGCTATTTCTCATCTTCAAATAGCTAGCGCCCGTGGTTGGCTTTATATGGCTACCTAAAATCAAGGGATAGCTAGCTTCCTATTTTACATACTCAGATAACACATATGTTGGAGTCTGTTTTCTGCTATATAAATTCTAAAGTAGCCTCCAAAATAAGAATAGTCGCGCTATTGAAGTCTGCTTCGTCCACTACTAGAAACTGAAATTCGTGCGGATTTGCCCACGACTGCTCCGGTAGTGGCACGTTCACTCGGATTCCCGTGCCACCCGCGTTGGCACCATTTCACGCCCTGTCCACTCAGATTCGCGTGCCACCCCACACCGTCTGGATGACTTGCTCCTGCCCCCGGCTCAATCCCCACGTGGACGCGTCGGGCGCTAATCACCTCCACCGCGTCGGACTCTTCTACTGAGGAATCGCACAAGCCTCTTCCACACCGGCGCCACACGGCCTGCGCCTCCTCCCCGCGTCGGTGGATGCGGCCTGGCCCTGCCACCCTCGTCGACACCAACGCCGGCGGTCTGCACTTGCAACATAAAACACTTGTCGCAACATACGACAGAAAAGAGATGAAACATACACTTGCAACATATGTGTATAACCACTGCAACATATGCAACATCCAGATAAAACACTTGCAACATATGCGACATATGCAACATCCCGATCTACGTTTGCAACATCCATATGAAATACTTGCAACATACCTCTGAAACATTTAAAACACTTGAAACATGCATTTGTAACATATATTTTCAGCGCAACATCTCCTTACTAAGGTCGCGCGTCGCGGCGACCACTGCCTTCCTGGTAGGGAACTGCGGTAGCGGAAGCACCTCGGCAGCACAACAACACCTCGGCGCGGGCGGGGGACGGGGCACTACGCACAGTGGCGGGGGATGGAGCACGGCGAGACGGGAATAGAGCGTTGCGCGGGATGGGGGAGCCACGTGGCGTGGGATCGGATGGGGCGCGCGGCGGGGAAGGCACACGACAATAGCATGGCGGAGTG